GCGGTTTCTCGGTTGCTACAGCCGTGATGTCACTTGCCCATCCTAACCCGCGGTTGGTTGTTCTGTGTTTCAGCTCTGCCTGCAGTTGAACACAAAGACCTGGGGGAGACTCCCACCTCCTCGCGGAGAAGAAAGGAGGCGGCGGCGCGGATCAAAGGAACTTGGGGCTTGTGGCCTTTGGGCACCGGGGTGCCTGGCAGGGGGAAAGTGAGCGAAAGCCAGGGGCGGTTAGTGAGCTGTGAGATGAGGCGCTGCTGCTGTTCCTGCCGCCGCCGCCGCTGCTGACACTCAGGTTCCAGGGTCCGTCTGCTGCCCTTTGCGCTTCGTGTACATGTGTCTGTTCAGCGCATCCGGAGGCGCCCAGAAGAGAATCCAACACGGCCGCCGGGGAGAGACCACCCGCCATGCCCACGGAGACCCTACAGACAGGTAGCATGGTGAAGCCGGTCAGCCCCGCGGGCACCTTCACCTCGGCCGTGCCCCTGCGCATCCTCAACAAGGGGCCCGACTACTTTCGCAGGCAGGCCGAGCCCAACCCCAAGAGGCTCAGCGCGGTGGAGAGGCTGGAAGCCGACAAGGCCAAGTACGTGAAGAGCCAGGAGGTCATCAACGCCAAGCAGGAGCCCGTGAAGCCGGCCGTGCTGGCCAAGCCCCCGGTGTGCCCGGGGGCCAAGCGCGCGCTGGGCAGCCCCACGCTCAAGGTGTTCGGGCCCAACGCCAAGGCCGAGGGCGGCGTGCACCGGGAGACCCTGAAGCTCGAGATCCTGAAGAACATCATCAACAGCTCCGAAGGCTCCAGCTCGGGCTCGGGCCACAAGCACAGCTCCCGAAACTGGCCGCCGCACCGGCCCGACGCCGCCGAGCTGCACCGGCACTCCTTCGCCGAGTCCCTGAAGGTCTACCCCACGCAGGGCCGAGGCAGCCCGCAGGACAGCGGCTCCCACGTGGGCAGGAGGCTGCTGGAGCAGACGGCCGAGTCCTTCCTGCACGTGTCCCACAGCTCCTCGGACATCCGCAAGGTGACCAGCGTGAAGCCCTTGAAGGCCATCCCCTGCAGCAGCTCCGCGCCCCCCCTGCCCCCCAAGCCCAAGGTCGCGGCCATCGCCACCATGAAGTCCCCCGAGGCCGACCCCGTGGAGCCAGCTTGCGGGGTCAGCCGAAGACCCTCCCTCCAGCGGTCCAAGTCCGACCTGAGTGACAGATATTTCCGGGTGGACGCAGACGTGGAGAGGTTCTTCAACTACTGCGGACTGGACCCCGAAGAGCTGGAAAACCTTGGGATGGAAAACTTTGCAAGGGCTAACTCTGACATCATCTCCCTCAACTTCCGCAGTGCAAGCATGATCAGCTCAGACTGTGAACAGTCTCAGGACAGTAACAGTGACCTTAGAAACGATGACAGTGCCAATGACCGGGTGCCGTATGGCATTTCTGCGATCGAGAGAAACGCTAGGATCATCAAGTGGTTGTATAGCATCAAGCAAGCTAGAGAGTCACAGAAGGTCTCCCACGTGTAAGAGAAGGCGCGTGCAGAGGAGGGAGGGGTGGGTCTCGTCTGTGCATCCGCAGTTGTGAAGGTTGTGAGGTCTCCTTGAAGTGTTGTGAGCTTCTCCACTCTCTTTGTGTTGCTTGTTGTGCAATGTTTTCAAGTTGCATGCCTGTCAACATGGGGGCGGACCTGGCGTCCGCGTCAACCATCGCTGCAGAGCCTGGCTGAACACACGTCATCTGCCAAAGGTTTCAGGCCAGAATCGGATTAGGGCTTTGATCTCAAGCAAAACTGTTTACACGGAAACGGTATACGACTTCTTCAATATTTATGTGGTTTCTTGTGTTTTATATCCCGCGCTATTGTATCTTAATTAAAAGTTTTATCAACTGGCTTTTAAGTTGAGAGTAGAATCTTTTTGAAATAAAAGCCAATTTGCCTACGTGTGACACCAAAACAAGGGGGAAATAAATGGCATCTGCTACCAAACAGAGTAACTGCCCTAAGGTAGAACCAGGCTGGATTTTCTGAGGAAAGTGGTGAGGCCCGTGTTAAATCACTTAACATGTTGCAGTTCTCCTGCCACTTGCTACAGTAATGGTTGGGGTAAGGATGCTATGTCCTGTGTCCTACTCGGTATGTAAATAAATGCTGGTGGCTCTGTGTAATACTGACCCCAAGAAAAGACAATCAGATACAATGAAGGCGATTATATCTGGGAGGTTGAATGTTTGGGGTTTTGTTAATATTCTTCTGATTTGGGTTGATTCAGAAATGTCTACTATTAATCTTTCGACAGGAATGGCCACCCTAAAGTTGTTACTGAATGTCTTAAAATTTTGGGGGGGTTGCTTCTTTGGTCAATAACGAATTCTCTCCCTCCTTCCCTTCCTTTTTTGTTGTTTTATTTGGGAGAGGGGGGTGGGGCTTGTGCAGGTTTGTGCTATCCGAAGACATGAACACAAACGGAAATACCAGCCATATCAGTATCGAGCCTCCTATTCAACAGTGAACACCTTTGGTGGCTGGACCATATCTGAACAGTGTGACTGTGTTGTCTTGCGTATGCTATTCCCTCATGCCGTGGACCTTTGTTCCAGCTCTAGGAAACTGTAGAAACACAACACTATATAGCCCCACCCGCCACCCCCAGCCTCTAGTGCTACATATCAACTTGTTCCCTTTTCCCCCAATAACCTGTCTTCCAGTTAGCTGTCAACCAGCTGACAACTGTGTCGTAGCAGAGAGGTACACGTGCAGTGGTCTGCTTCATTGCTGTTGTGGTTACGCTCTGAAGTTCAGGGGCACTACCTTAGACTTCATCAGCTAATAAACTTTTTATGGTGTAAATGCTGTAAGACTTTGTACATACTTCAGTTGTTATGAAATCTTGAAGAAAAAAAAAAGAAAAACTTATGCTAATAAATAGCTCTGGTGCAGGCACTAATGGTGGTGGTTTCTCTTTGTACTTTCCTTTGCTCTCTCCATGAAAGTTTAACTTTGAAATGTGAGCCAGACACAAATTTTTGCTAGTCTTAAAGAAACATTATTTTATTAAGTTATTTTCCCCATCCATATCACAGTTCTTTTGAACAGCAGTGTTCTTAATTGTAGCTATAGCAGTGTGCTTTTGCTAAAGTAGTTGCATCAAGGTTCCTAAAATATGCCGCCTCTTTTGTTCTTAGTTCACACTTCAGTTATTTTTATCTTTTCTTAAACATCAGAATCTTTTACACCTTCCACTAGACTCTTCAGTTGTAAACGTGTATGATTTCTTACAGTGGAGACATACCTTGGAGGTTTACAGTCTTGTTCTTATTTTTATACAGGCCCAATTTCATTGAACACAACATGTGTTCATAAATTTGTCACTCATTCATTCATTTGTCTTTCAACAGGTCATTTGTTGAGTGAGACCCTTTTTTAGGCCTCACAATAGACATGTGACTTGTGGTCAACAGCACAGTCTCTGCCTCAAGCAACTTAGATTTTCACATTAATCTTAAAAGAAATATTCCTCTTAGTAGAAATGTCTTATTTCCTATTAGGACACTGAGTGTTCAATGAGTATTTATTGAATCAAATTATTTGAAGATTAACTTTTCTTCCAAATTCCATATAATATGTAAATGTAAAAAAACATTATTTAAAAAGTCATTTTCAGAAACAGAAATGATGTGATTCCTAGCTATTATTGTTCATAAACATTTTTCTTCTGAAAATCAAATTTGGTTCCTTGACTCTCTCTACTGGTTTTGAATTCTTTCTGGTTCTCCAATTAACTTCCAGTCCAACTAGAACTCCTTCCCAAAGGAAATATTTTGAAATTCAGCTATAAGTAGTGATTATACAATGCATTCAAGATAATGGGATGAAAATACACACACACACTTTTTCTTCCTTCACCGTTGGGATAGAAATGTGGCCATTTAAAATATTCAAGGCTTAGCATTTATATATATATCCATCTTTTTCTGGGGCTATTGAAATACCAAAATAGATGTTCTTTTTCTAAAGAAACTAGTTTGTTTGAGAGATGAGCACCTCTTTGCTAATTTAATATCACTGCCTATGCTGTTTTAGTCATAAATTCTATTGAATCTTCCAACATTTCAAAACCACATTAAATTGTATTCTAACGGGGCTATATAAATCATTCCACTATAATTCAGTCTCATATTCTGTAACTTTATTTTTGGTTCCCTTTATGGAAGGTGAGCACTCATTTTCTTTTTGTTCTTGAAATTGGAGTTTCTATAAAGAACTAATTCAAATGCTTAATACTAAATCCAAAGAGGGAGCCGCTCCCTAATGGTAAAGTTTTCTTAACAAAATGCTCATTCTATTAGTGTGTGGAAGTAAGTATCTCGTGTGTGTGAGCGTGTGTGTGTGATGATGATGTTGGTATGAATACAGGGTTATCATAGTTCAGCACACTTTTTTCCACTGCACAATGCAAAGTGAAGCATGATTGCATTAGATGGGCCTGGAAACTTGTTTCTTTCTGAAAAAACACCAAATTTTAAGACAAACCTCCCATATCCACCTGCTCTGCCATTGTCTTAGTTCTAACTCCTGTCTTCTCTTACCTGTTATTGTTTCTAGAACTTCCTAACTGGAACTCTCCCTCCTCTCAGCCAGTCTCTTCACATCCCATTTCATGCCAAAGTTCTCAAAATCAACTCTGATTATGTAAAAACGTCCTCTATGTAAAAATATCCTCCAGCTTGAATATTCTGCTGATAGTATAAATCCTAACTTCTTAACAAAGAATGCCAGGCAGTTACCTTTCAGACCGTATCTTCTTTGTGCCCATCAGCCACCCATCTTAGGCGCCAGGCTCTAACCAAAGGAAGTTTCCATTGGAAACACCTTACCACTGCATTAATGATTTATTGCTGTGTAACAAATTTCCTCAAGATTCAACAATTTACAACAATAAATATTTATTATGCAGTTTCTGTGGTTCAGGAATCCTGGAGTGGCTTAGCCGTATGGTTCTGGCTCACGGTGTCTCAGGCTGCAGACGAGACTTCAGCCAAGGCTGTGTCATCTGAAGGCTTGGCTGGGGCTGGAGAATCTAATTCCAAGACGGGTCACTTGGTTTTGGCAGGAGTCCTTACAGCATGGCATCTGGCTTCCCCCAGAGAGAGTAACCCAGGAGGAAACAAAGAGGAAGTCACAATCCTGTTGTGATCCAGTTTTCTGAAGCACACCCAGCCACCATATCCAGTTCGTGTAGACGCATGTCACTCAATCAGCCCGCGCTCATGGAGAGGACAGTTAGACCTCATCTTTTAAGGGAAGGAATATCAAAGGATATGCAGACATGTTTTGAAATCACCACTACAGAAATGCTTTCTGCTCTCTCTTTGGCCTTGCAGTCTCTTGCTCTTTCAAGATTCAACAGAACTATCAACCAGTGAGATGATTTTGAGTTTCTATGTTGCCTTTTCCCTTTACGCTAGCTAGCCTCAGTGGTGCCTTTGTGAGAATTTTTAAATGGGATACTTTCCTCAAAACATTTTGTTT